GGCCATACCGCCTAACCAGACCGTCCAGTTGACCGGCAAGGACAGGAGATCTCGCGGCGTCCAGCCCCAAAATGGGCCTCAGTTACAATTGCTGGTGTTGGGCCGCTGATTTAATGGGTCGGTTGCTAGGCCCACATGCCTTCGACGCAATGGTTTCGGCCAAGTCCGGCAGAAATGAAGTGATTTGCAGACTCTCCGCGTGGCACAGACACCACCTCAGAGGCCACCATCCACCCCGTCAGCGAGCAACGCAGATTGGATGGCAGACTACACTTCACGTTGTCCTCTTTCGTTCCAACCTCGAGACGGACAGACCAGCTGATGCCTGCCGAGGGGCGGCTGGCAACAGCTTCTCCGAATGGGACGTCACATGCGGCCGCCCCACCCTCTCCGATTGGTGCCGATCCGTGCCACCCTCCCGGTCGCGTCGATCGGGTGAGAAATTCCGGCGCTCCGGTTGGCATTCCAGAAGGACGACTGCAACAGGAAAGCATTCTGGAGGGGACGCGACGGTTGATGAGGTCGACTGATTCAGACGAGGTGAGTCCACTTGCTAGCATCAGCTGCATCAGCTGCATCAGCTCATAATCCCTCTTCTTGTGAAAGAGTCTGCCGGAGATGGCTCGGCCAGATACTCAGTCCCATTTACTTCAGTAACTTCGAGTGGTACACACTTTTGAGTGAGTTTTCATTTTAAAGTAGGGTTTTGAGACGAACAGTGCATATTGCATGAAAACTGTATTCAGCCTATTTCGCGTAATGTGATGAAGGATGACGAGTAGTTGGATCTTGCCTCAATCACGTGACTAGGCCTCGTGTTTCCATTCAATTCCACAAAACCTTGCTTCTCAAAAGATATTCTCATCCAGGCTGGATTGGACTGCTCCAGCGGGACTCGAATCCGGCCTATGGTGATGCGATGCACACTTTCGATATGCTACCGATAAGCCAGACTGTGCTAAAATCTGATGACATAGCTCGAACCTCTATGCTCTGATGAAGAGTGTAGCATGTACTAATTCTTCGGTCGCGAACCATATTTGTCGAGAGGTTGTTTAACCTGGTTTCCGCAAGGTGGTCATATTGGTAGGAAAACTTAGAGGAACGCACCTAGTCCGGAGTCCATTGTCTGCATGATCATTTCC